GGTCCACTTGAATATTTTATTCGAGTGGGCCCCTCGATGTGAGGTGATGTACACACTGATGTACATTTTTTGATGTACATTTAGCATTTTTCAATAAATATATATCTTGTTTAACATATCAAACGTATTCTTTATTTTTCGGCTCTTATGCGCCAATAAACTAACAAAGACAAAGTCAATCTGGAAATGTGAATAATATGACACAACATACCGAAATCTTTTGTTAAACGAAGATAATGTTGACTTATGAATTTCATCGTGTACATATAATTATTAAGAAAGTCTAAATCTCTAAATGCATGCACCCGAACAAAATACAAATCAAAATGTCGTGCACGTCAATTTATTTGGCACATAAATAAGCCAATTTTTTAAAATTTATTTTCAACCATACATTTTATGGTATCACAATTTTTATCAACTTTCAATCACACATTTCATTAACTTTTATTAAAAGCTCTGAATTTTAACTAAACCAAACAGGGGCTAATATCCGTGCCAAAAATTCCATTAGATTTCTTACCATGCACGTCATTATCCTAATTATATTCTGATTACAAAATAAATATTTGACAAAGACATAAAATTATTTTCAAGAATATTTTATGCATTCTCTTAAAACGATGATGCCGAAGGTCAAAATGAAAGGAAAAATGAAAAATAATGTCATTTATAACAATCATGCTGGTGTATGGGTAATGCCATTTATCCAAACTAGTATCAAATTATAGCCAAGAGATGGTATAATTAAATACCAATAATGAGTCACCGCCGGCCGCTGTCACACTGCGCTACGTCGCCATGACTGCATCGCCGTCGATAACTAATTCCACTCGTGAGTCGTGACAGCGTGACTTGAGCCTCTTGCCTCTCTTAATTTTTCTTTCTTTTTTTTATTTTAGTTATTTTAGTTCTTTTTTGATTTATTATTTATAAAATTATGAGTTATCGGTTAAATTAATTATTTATGAATTATGAATTTATGTTTTATGAGTATTACTATTTACCGTGACAATTTGAGATTTTTTGTGACTTGAGAGTTTGCTGTTCGTATTAGTATTTATGAAAATTGAGGTTTTTGTGAATTTGAGAATATGTGATATCATATATGTTGATTGTGGACTGTGAATTGTGTGTACTGTGATTTGTGATACATGAAAATGATAAATTGGAGAAATTGTGATTTGTGATAAATAACAATTTGGTGTTGGAATTTGAAAATTGGAATGGAAACTTGATGAGAGTTTAATGATTTAATTTGTGATTTACGTTTAATTTTCATACAAATTTTTGAAAACGAGACAATCTTGTAACGCTTTCAAAATATTAGACCTCAAAGAATGCAGTTGTCTGAGCTTACAGTTACGGAGTGAGGTATCATGTAATTTTTCTTATAATATCAAGTTATATTGAATTATATTTTCATGTTTATATGATATTACATTTTAGTGCATTTATATTTTAATTGAAGAATTTTTAATATTATTTAATTAAATATTAATAAACGATCTCGCCATTGTGACGGTCGCCGATTGACAACTGCCTAGCTGGTTTCAATTCCTGGATCCGCCATTGCCTATGTTATTGATTTTTACCAGTAAACTCTCGTATAAACGAAAAGCATAATAGTACAGTGTAGTTAAGCATCGCAAACATTTTCAAATTCTTGATGGAATTAAATAGTTACAATTTCAATACACTGAAAAATTTCTCACAAGACTTGTTGACCTTATATTGAAAAAACTTTTCTATGTACATCGTGAACTATCTTAAAACGTGAAAGAAAGAGTGTATACTATAATTTACTTCATGTGGACCCAAATGCCCTCACTAGGAATATCCTGATGAACCACGAATAGAAGATAGTACCCGGGTGGTGTGAGATTGCGTGAACCCGGTGTCACCACCCGAATTTGATATTTCAATCGCCCAACTGCCTTTATGTCCCCTCCACTCAATACCAATAACCTTTGATTCATTGAAAATGAATGTGTAGTAAAAGAAGGTGCAACCATTGTTACTATGACGGAATTCCTATTTAACCTGCCTGGAGGAATACCGAACCGAACAGCAAGTTGTTGTCCATACCCGATATTAGATTGTGAAGCAGGTGAAATTATATTTGGACGCAACCACGCAATATTTGGATCTAAATACGCAGGTGAAAATGCTTCCAAGGTTAAATCTGTAGGAAATTGAACTCCCATGAAACTGTCATATTGATGAGGATTGCTACCACCGACCAAAACCCGGCCATCACGAAGCAATATTGCGGTTGAATGATACATTCGCGGCGTAGAACTAGAGTTCTGTACTTCAAATCTTGATCCACTTAGATTGTCAGGTTTGTAAATAACTGGTGACAAAACTGGGTTCCGACCTAATTCCCACCCTGCCGTACCCATAGATGCCCCATTGATGATCAAGACTTTGCCATTTGGTAACAATACCATGTCACCCATGACTCTTGCTAAAGGCATGGTCTCCATTGCCCATTGTGGATTGGCATCGGTTATTTGAATTCTTCCGCAGGTGCTAAGTGCTGGGACAAAATTACCGTTTATCGCACTTACATATGCTCCTTTTGGTG